TATAATCAGTTTTTGTTAGAAGCGAATCAGTGCAAAATGGACCCCCACCACATAATTATGGCAGAAACAGTCACTTCAGCAGTGCAATCACCAACTTCCTGTTTCTGTTAAACTATAAATTTACATTACAAGAATAAGGACGACCAAAAATTCAGCTACTTCATCTTTCTGAATAATCAAAGTCACATTGACTTGGTAATGACAGGGTTCTCAGAGAACAGAGCGTCACTAAGCAAGGAGTTTTTTTTTTCTATTCAGCCAATTCATTCAAAAGAAATCAGGTTGAGCCTGTGTTGAGCAATCGGCTGAAAAGTTTCTACCACAGGGATCAGCTTTCGTAACGAATTTAGTGCCACAGACGCTCGACTGAGGTGAATTCCACAGGACTCAGCGTTTCATTTGCTAGAGGTCAAAGGGCACAATGCTGTGATAAGACAGATAACCGAGAAGCAAGATTTTAAACTGATCAATGGTGTCATCCTTGCTTGGACAGTGGATCAGAGTCACTCCTCACAAATTAAAAGTGTGCATTTCAAAATGTTTTAACTGAAGATATAATGGAGTCAACAGGATACTCTGTTAGTTCATTTAGTCTTGTTATAGTTATCATTTTACATCCTCTATAAAGCATCTTCTGTGCTGCTATCAGCAGAGAATAAAAGAAGATATACCACAGTAACAATACAGAAACAGATTACAAAGTAGTTTAACCTAAATAAGAACTTATGTTAGCTTTGTTTTTAATCAGAAACTGCTAACTTTGAGAGAGAAAGATAATTTTTCACAAGATAAAACAGGAAATGGATGTGTATAGATTCACTGAGGTATCCAACCATCAAGCAACCACTTTCTCTGATGTCCTAGCTATAAAAGCAGTCCGATTAGAATGCATTTATCATCAAGGCTACATGTCGAAAAATCTGAAATTAGGATGAGAAAATAATATCACCTCGTGCAAATTTTCGCTTCAAGTTACAGTATCATCTCTGCAACCCTCTCACCTTCAGGTCAAGACACAACAAACACTGTGCACCAGCTTTTCTTCAAAACAGAAAGTAAAAGTATTTGTACCACAATAAAAAGGCAGAGAAAAAAAAAACATTATTACAAAATATATCCAATTTAATTCAGTAGCAGCCTTGAAGGGTATTTGTTGTACAGAATGGCATCACATTTTGCCGTTCTGCTGATTATTGGGTAACAAAGGGGAGTATATAACAGGTCAACAGAATAGTTGCTTACTTAATCAACTATCTGCTTAAGCAGCTGGCTCTCGGTCGGACATTACTTAAGAAGTAAAAGGAAAATCAAAATGGTGAATTTGTATTTCTTGCACCCAATGAAAAAGCATAGGCCTTCTTTCAGACAGCTGACAGGCAGTGCACAACAAAAAGAGTGCGAGAGAAAAACCTGTAACATCATAATCTAAACCACACAAACAAAGGATTTCAAAAAATGGTAAAAAACAACCCTGAACATGTGGGATTGAACCTCAGTTTCCAACACACTGAGAGCCGGTTTAGTAGCTTAAAGGCTGATCCTGAATATCTAAGAACAATTCAACCCTGACATTACAATTCCAATGTCCCTAAATTACTGTGATATCAAAACGCTCACTCCACTGAGATACAGTAGCTTCTATTTATAGTAATAAACGTCAGTAAAGTTCTGGCAACCACAAGAGCCCCTTTGGATGCCGCTCAAAACTGAAACAGGGTTCACAAGAGGATATATGCCAAGGTGGAACAAAACAACAGCAAACAACAGATGCTTCGACCACAGAAGTTCTGGCATTAAAATAATGGCAGACTGGCAACATCTGTTCCTTTCATTGTCTGTGTTTGACCCTTGAGGTCCACTTCCCCGTGTCCTCTATCTATCCACCGAGATTGAACAACTGGCAAGTATGAAGAAAGGAACAACTTCCATGTACAGTCGGCACCTCACAAAACGGACAAGAAACTCTCTATAATTTATTGATAAAGAACACAGAGAAACCTTGGAGCACATAATAAATTTTAGATGAGGTTTTAACAATTCACTAAGTCCAATCGTGACAGACAACAAGAAAAGAGGATTAAACGCCTGGAGAGAGTAAACCTATCAAGCACAGCAGTACAGTACAACGTTGTCAGGGCTAAGCTATCAGGTAGACGGTTAAATCTTTTTTTTCTTCTAATAAGTTTAGTCAGTAATCGACCACTTTAATAGGTTGACTTTTACAGCTGAATGCATCTAACGTGGCGATAAAATAAATACTCGTTTGACCACTGATCATTATTAACATGTTTTTATAAGTAAACGGCCAAAAAATCCGTCAGAGCTGCAATTAATAAAAACACAAACAGATGAATATGAATAACCAAAAATAGTAAGATTTTAGACTTTGTAAGACCATTTCTCTAATACTATAGAAATCGACTGATACATAATGTTAAAACGCACAACTAAAAAGAGGTTTAATCAAGAGGTAAAGAATGGACGTAAACTGAAATGAAATGACGGTAGGTTTAGGGCAAACACGCTGTCAACTACTTCTATGCCTCCTGCTGCTATCTATTATGAAGATCCTGATATTTATCTTTCATATTGTTAATAAACTTAGAACACTGGATAAGAATTTGTTCTCTTTCTGGGTATAAGGGCAATGGAACTACAAAATTTTGAGAAAAAAAAAAGCCGTTCATGTCACCAACCCTGGTTTTAAAACCCAGCAGCAGAACTTAAGAGATGTATTAATTTGACCCACAGCAACAAGTCCGAGTGAACAAAAACTGAACTGAAACAATTAATTGGATTAATGGATTATTGAAATAATTGTCAACTAATTTAGTTATTGATTAATCGTTAAGTGGAGTATAGAAACTCTAAAACAGGCCTTTAGCTGACAGAGCGACCCACTTAGTGCAGTAATTATATCAAAATTATAAAAAAATATTTATATATAAACATTTTTCATTTAGATAAAAAAAAACTGTTTTCATCTGTCAATATGCTCTATCCAGAACTCCACAATTGGAAAGTTTTAGTTTTAACTGGTTTATTTTTGTAAAAAGTCTTCTGTAAAGAACCTTTGGCTATCCGATTATAAATCAATTAATCAAAAAAATAATCAACGGATTAATCAATTTGCGAAATAATCGCTAGTTCCAGCCTTCATAAAAACAACTGAAAATTCACAATGCAACAAAAACGCTTAAAAAATAAGGCTTTCTTATATGCAAAGAAATTGTAAATACAGACTAATAAACAATACAGAACTGGCTATCTATTACTGCACCAATAATATAAGGTTTCCATTTCCACAAGTTTCACTTAAAGGAGTGGTGTATATTTAAGAAGCCAATATTTACGGGGTTACCAGCGAGACAAAATAAAACCAATTTATGAAAAGAAAAAGAAAAAAGTATTACAAGTACAGTCTAGTAGGAAATGCTAATTCAGTAGACTAAAGTAATTAATATTAAACTACTGTTTCTTCTATAGAATTACAAGTACAACACCTGTCATTTGTATATCCAAAAGAAATCTGACATTTTAGCAATTTTTAATCTTTTATATCTGACATTTATAAATCCTCTGAAAAAAAAAGCAATAAAAGTATCCCGACTCTTCATGAACATAACTACAGGTTTTGAAACCTGTATCCCGTTTAACACATGGAATGCTCCAGTGGGCCCCCTACTGGTCTGGAGGCCTTAACACCAGCTTTGTTTGCACCATCCTACATCTTGTAAATATCCTGTTTAAACAATAAAAAGACTGTAGCTGCATACCTCTATGAGTCCATTACAAATTCCCTATGGGGAATACACAATATTTTTTTAAATATAGATAGTTATTATAGATTCCATAACAAAGTTGAAGATTTGACACATGCATCTTTTCAAAAACAATTTGTGCCTTTGAAACAGTTATGACGCCTGTCAAAACTTCTGCAAGACCATCTTAAAACCATTTTGTTTAGTAAACAATTTCACATACCTGCTCATTTGACCATTTTATTTTGAAAATGTTTTACTTGATCTCACTTTAACTTGAATTTAGGTATATTATAACCTTTTTTTAACCTATGGTATAAGCAAAGCAATCCCAGCAGACATATTTTTCTAAACCAACATTGTTTGCAGAGCTCTGTATCTGGGACAATCTTGTGATAATCCATTACATCATGTGCTTAGCTTAGCCACTGTACCTCTCAACCTCTGGTGCTGTCAATACCATGAAATATTCAACTATTTATAGATAGCAAAAAAAAAGAAAAAAATTGAAAAAAAAGGAACGACGAATTAACGGGATATACTTAGTTACAGCTTAAGATAGAAAAAAATTGAAAAAAAAGGAACGACGAATTAACGGGATATACTTAGTTACAGCTTAAGATAAACACAAGCGTTCAAAGCAATTCAATCCCAAAGCAGTAGAAAAATATAAACAGAAAGTGCTGCTCGCGTTAAAATACTATATTTGCTTTGTAGCTTCTTGTCTTTAAGAGCACAACTTGCCAGAAACCAAAGCACTAATAAAGAGACGGATTCAAAGTTAAGTGGCAGCTTGTACGCAACAAGAATGGTAACGAAGTAACTTTACATCCGTTCGTTCACCAAGTTTGGTTCCCTATTTACTGTAGTAAGTTCACCATGTTTCGTTATCTGCGAAGTAGCGTTAGCAGTGAGTCAGTGAAGGTAAAACTGCTGCTAGCTTTAGCATGACATTTAAAGTATTTAACATAGCTTAGCGGTTTAATAAAAGATTACATAAAAAGTGTCAAATCTTGTTCTCGTTTTCTCTAAATGTGTCCCTGTCCTCTTTCCGGAGAAAACAGAGAAGTAACGTTAACTAGGTTGGCCACATGCTGTCGCTTAATGCCATGCTGGCTCCTCTAAGCAAAGTCACTTGACCAATTTTACTTTTAGCTTGTTCAGAACGCTAACCCCCCTTCAAGCCGAGCCCATTTTTGATCGCGTATATTAAAATAATATGTATAAAAAAATACTTACAATCATACACGTCGTTACCCGGGAGCGGTGTGTTGTAAAGGCAGAGTTTAATTCAGATGTCTGTCTCGCACAATGTCAGAGATCAGATCAGCAGCTGCTTCCTCCATACACGCAGCGCGCAGATCACACAGCGCACAGCAACGCTACCAAACCCCTCACCGTCGTCATGGTAACAGGTCCGCTTCAGCCAATCAAAACCCCTCCCTTCCTATCTCCCCTGGCAACTGCCGCAGCGCTGGGGCGCACCGGCGCGAACGCGCACGCTGTCCAGTTTTGCATAGTGGATTTTTTTTTTCTTTTAGTTTTATCTCCCCGCGCTCTTAATTTATTAGAAGGAGAACAACGTTTTCTAAGAACCATTTAGACTCTTGTCTTTGGAAAGGAATAATGGGGTGATTTGTCTGTTATTAAAGAGTGAAAGCAAAGCAGCCGGACGTGTCCCGCGTTATTCAGGCCAGGCTGCACAAACACCTCGGGGCGGAGAGAAAGGATGTGTCACCGCGCCCTGCCTCATGACGATAGTGGACCCTCAACTGGGCCCCTCCTAGAATCAACGATGATACAGACATCATGACCCCTGGATAAACATGTGTGACCATATAGACTAAATATTAATGAAAAAGAAGCAGCTTTTTAAGTTACTTTCCTTAATAAACTTATTTTAACCTTAAGGCTGAACATTTGAGCCCCCAACTCCCCACAGGTACCTTGACAGTTTATGCCTTACTATCATCTAAGTGCAGCCGGCCAACTGACTTCACACCAAACTGTAACTTTCACATAATGGTGATGCCTTACTCATCATCTAAGCCACTCCATTTCATAAGCGCACATGAGTAGCTCTCTGTGAACTGATCTAATAGCCCCTCTGTTTTCTTTTAGCTCCAAGAGCCTGCCATGCATTGGCACTGTAAATACTTTTGAAACAGTGTTGGTGCACACGTCGCTCCTTCCTCTTCTTTGAACCAGACAAACAGGCTTGGGTAGTAGTTGTGTGTTTTGTGTTCAAATGAATGCAGGTGAGTCAGCCTGCAATTGTATTTAAGATGATTATCAGTTACATATACTCATTGTTTGTGGTGTGTTTTTCATAAACTTGAGCTAATGAAACAGCTGTATAAAGGCGAATAATTAAATGAAAGTGACAAATGTATTGCTATAGCATTTGCATCTTTTTCTTTTGTGCACTGAGCTATTCTTAGGGCCACTGTGTCAGGCAGCACAGAATCTGCCCCATTTTCCTATCACTCCTAGGGATGATGATGAAGTTACAAAGCTGGCGAATGAGAAATAGGAGAGCAAGATGCATTAATCACCACGGAAACAGCTGATTGAGGATGACTTAAAAAGACAGACCCATTAGTCTGTGTGCCTGCACTGGTGCTAATCTGATTGTGAAACTGTTAGGCTAAAACAACATAGCCCATTGACCACCATCAGTGACTTTCATAGTGATGCTAGAGCCTTTCCTGATCTGTAAAATGATAGCCACTTTATGGTTATGGTGCTGTATAAGATGGATAAAAAAGAACATTTGAACTAATCAGCGGAGGAGAAAATTATTTCAGACATCTCCATCTATTAAACATTTTGTGAATAAAAGCGGAATCACAAACTGTGAGAGGAGTTCATGGATGACAGTAAAAGTGTGACTGAGAAAGGGATGAACAATGGGGATGCATGTCTGTGATGGAGAGCACTGACCAAACATGAATGAGGGGGCAGTGTGTCTTAGAAGGCAGCCAACAGTGCCATAGTGGCAAGGAGGCCTGCTGCTTTAATGGTCCATAAATCTGTGCGGAATGGCTGGTCTGATGCTGCCCCTCTGAGACCCTCTCATGCAGAAAATGAATCAGACCATTTTTACGGATCGCGACTGTGGAAGCTCTCGCCCTCCCTTGCCCTGCTTCCAGCAAAGCCGATAAGAGTGGCTCCACACACGCAGCACTCCATTTTAGCAGGCCTGGAGCTCATAAAAATCTCTTTTAAGGGCTACCTGTGTTTGTTCACCGTTCTTTATTCAGTATGTACCCCTTGCCTTTGTTGTTCGTTTTCTCTGTTTTCCCTTTTTTGGTCATTGCACCTTTGGTTTCCAGGGGTGTGAACAGAAACACTTTCACACACTGTCAGTAATGGGGTGTAAACATTAAGGATTAATCACAGTTTGGAGAAAAAAACAAACATTCTTTGTTTTCAGTGTATTCTACATTTTAAAAGTCTGTCAAAGGGGTATGTGTCACCAGAAGACTTCTGTTCATGAAATGATGAAGAATTTAAAAAATCTCCAAAATACCTAAAAATGGAGGCATGCATTTGTGGTTACATAAAAATTAGATTCCAGTTTTTTCTTTTATTTTTTAAGGAAATCTAATCAGTGATTACAAAAGAGTCATTTTATCTGTAAGTTGATCTTAATAGAGTTTTGAAAACCTTGATGTTTTTTAAGTTCTGTAAAATATTTTCTTTCTTTCATCTACAAACAGAAGCATGAAAAGTGCAAATTTATATTCCCTGAGTGACAAAATAATTTGTAGAATTTCCTTTAAAACAGTTGCAGTGTTATTTCCAGTATAGACTAAGAGGCACAACGTTAGGTCTCTAGAGGTAGAAATATATCCCATAAATGTTATTTGATTGAAACATTCCACTCTAGCACTGGCTGTATATGTTTATTGGGTCATGTAGTGATGATAGCTGAACCTTAACCTCAAGTGTTTTACGCTCCCTCGCCGGTTTTCTTTTGTTTGTCTTTGTTTAATTTGTCTTCACATTAAATGTGACTAGCTTCTCTGTCCCAGGTGTAGAAAAGCCTCTGTGCAGCATGATGCTGCCAACACCATGTTTTATAATGGGGAGAGTGTTTTTTTTTTTTAACCAATGCCAAAGATTTAAAATTTGGCCTCATCTGAACAGGGCACCATCCTTGAAAAATATCCACAAAATATTTGTATATTTACTATAAATAAATTAGTCAAAGACTGACTTTGGTAAAAAATTAGGTGACTTCTAGAGGCCCTACTTTGTGTTGTTCTGTAACCAAAAGAAATACCACACTGCCTCTGTGGCATAGGGGAGTAGTCTCTTGCAATGTATTTTTAATTCACAGTAATTTGACATTATAGTGACGTAACTCATTAAGGTGATTTCATTTTTATTTTTCCCAATTAAAGCTCTCTAGAGTGCACTATTAAAGGAAAGATTCTTTGGCAAACTGTGAGAAAACCTGACCCCTGACCTAATTAGTTTGACCCCTATTTGAATTGTGAAGAAAGAGAATTGGGATGAACGCTGAAGAAGTGCAGGTGTTCATGTTGAAATAAAGGTATTTGCATGTGGGCATGGAGGCTTTGTGGCATGTCATTTTCCTAGACATAAGTACTCTTATAGCTGGTTACACAGGTGAACATATCCATTGTCCCCAAAACATGAGCAACGACTGACTGCAAAGTTTCTGGTGCTACCCAAGGACACAGGATTCACACTGGAGGTGCACACATAATTGCTTTGGAGAACAAGCATCTCATCAAGGGAGAAAGCTCAAAGCAAGAGCATCAGACTGCTTATTTCTTTCTTTAAGTGTCTCCTGTTAAATAACCTATTAAACACAAGGAGGATAATTATAAGTTTTTAGTCTGAGACTGTAAATGTGACTTGGACACACCCTTTAACTACAAGCTCTGCAGTCAGGTGTGGTCAGCTTGTCTCCAATGCAGCTCGGCCTTTGTCTCTCAGGTTGTTTTCTCTAGAGGGTCTCGGAGCCGTTGCCTGCAGTTATTCACAACTAAGGAGTGTGTTTGCCTACAGAAGCCTTTGTTTGACTATCCTTTCAGCCAACCTCGTCTCATGAATTGTGTCAGCAGTGTGCTGATTGTCTGCTATCTGGCAGCAGATAAGTGCCTACTTTAATGCACATGCAATAAAATCTAACAGAGGAATGATCTTTTCTGCAGTCAAACAAATGTCCCATAATTCTCTATTGATTCCACTATGTGCAGATAAAACTGGATAAAACCCTAATAGTGACAGAGCCAAACATCAGAGGAATACACTTTGGGAATTAGCTCATAAACAATGGGTTGAATTTTTAAAAAGATATCTTTTTTTTTTTTTTTTTTACAAAGGATTGATTCAATGGTTATGTCATCTCTTAAAAGGCTAAAAACTCTATTAGGTTTATATCTGAAGAAAATTGTTAAAACATTCACAAAACCCATAAAGTCTGATAAATATATGACACAATTCCCCGTTTCCTCTGATACGCTAGAATAAAAATCAACCAGTTAGTTAGTTAGTTTGTTAGTTAGTTAAAATTAGCCTAAAACATCAATAATAAAAAAAAAACAGTATCTTAAAAAAACAAACAAGAAAAGGACTATCAGCTCTATTAAAAATGTATAGCAGGCTGAGATCATTAAAACATCACTTGCATTGTACAGAGGGCTCTTAGAGGAGAAGACAGAGTATATTGCAACGGCAAACCAATCAGGACATGGCCATTCAAGAGGAAAACAGAGAGACGTTGCCAAGAGGCCCATGGTAACTATGGGCAAACTGCAGAGATCCATGGCTTAGGTGGGAGAATCTCTTGACAGGACAACTGTTATTTAACAACTCTTGAAATTAGAGATTTATGGAAGAGTTTCATGAAGAAAACCATAGTTTAAAAAAGCCTTAAAGGGGAGGTTTTCCATCTATCACAAACAAACGGAGGGAAGACTGAGACTAAAATATATTAGGCCGTTTGGGGCCTGATCTTGTGAACTAAAACATGTGCAAACCTGTTTGCATCCATAAAGCAGATCTAATTCAGCAGACAGCGCATGCAAACTTGCTTATTGTGCATGTGCCTTTATGAATATGCAGATCGTATTCTAACGACTAAACTACACACATTTATAGGTGGAGGATATGCAAATTACCTCTTGCAAAGCAGTGTATCAAACCTTAAAGTGATTGCAGGTGCCAATTTTGCATTTATATTTAGTACATTTGAATGTCAGGTGTAAACTCAAACTCAAAAATTTCCGTTATCATTGTAGCCACAACGGACGTGGTACAATGAATGCTGTACAATGAATGACGATGCAAAGAGTCTGCAAATATTATTAATATATTTGGACTGTCAGAAATGACAAAAGAAGACTAAAAGTAGGTAAATAGACGCACCATCAACAGTCATTGCAACAGGACTGCAAATAACTCTATTCAATTAAACCAAAACAAAAAGTACAATGACTGGACTTAAATATTCTAGCATGTTTGAAAAACAAAAACAAAACAAGAGATCATCCACAAAGAGCCTAAAAAATAGGGATGAACAATTTTAATGATCGATGGTGGGTACTTTTAGATTGATC